AGTTATATAACATTTTATTATTTAATAATTTATTAAATACACAAGTTTGTCCAACTCCCTATGCTCGTACTCGCGATTTCCATCAGAAAAGCGCATTGGAATGTGTGAAAATCAATGTTTATAAACACAAATGTCGCACATGCGCAGCGCGACGATTACCGCCATTTAAACTACAATTAGTGATAGTATGAAATAGACACAAGGTGTTAATCCCATCCGTAATTCGGCCATGACTGTATTTCCTCGTAAAGAGCATCTCCCGGGCATTCTGTAGCAGACGTATCACGGTGTCCAAGTAATGAGTTATCTCTCGTAATTTTGTTTTCATCTACACCGCACGCTATAAGCTGTTTACTTGCTTCCAGTGCTGCGTCGTTTGGCTGTTGAAAGATAACACGAATGTGATCACGAATAATACGCCAATGCGAAAAAACGCACTCACTTAATGCCGGGCCCTCTAGTGATGAAGTTAATCTGTGACGTAGATGGTTGACAGAAAGGCGTTTCAAAACATGGCATTTCTTTCGGTACGCAGTATCCTCGGGGGCGGAGCTACGTCACAAGACGTTCCACGTTGCTACGACGCGCACCACTGTACATGTATTTCTATGGGCTCTGTGCGCGCTGCTGTGGAACGCTGGTCGAGCCGGTGAAAATTCGAGAAAACAACACAAACTCAACTTTGAAGTAATCCTAAACAGCCAAATTCATATATGTTACACACGTAGGGCTAATCTTGTTACACTGTTCAGAGGTGTCTCAACAACCATTCCAAAGTATCGTTTTCTGCGAGTTTTGGGCCTTTGTTTTCATCGCGAGGGTTGCCAGGCGGTGAAAATGTCTGGATGTCCGCCCCAAGGATAGCAGGTAATGGATGCTTTCATGGTCTATAGAGGGCGCTCCCGGTAATTGGACAGAGTTTCGTCAGTCTACGCGTTGCTATGTAGCATTTAGCAGCTTTGTGTTCTACACCCTATCATTCAGCTTTATTTCCGAGGTAGCTAATAAGCAGAGTATTTTCGAAGTTTAAATAACAGCACTGTTTATTGCAGTAAGCATACTCATATACATGCACAGCGAAAGGTGAATCCCGCCACCCTCCTTCAGGTGCATTCGAGCATATGGCGGGTGCAGATTTCCAGAGGTTTTCAGTCCCGTCATTATTCGGGTTTTTATTCTGTGTGCCGCTTACAGGGATCGCAGTTTTTACTATTCTATGTACGATCGTTACTAGTTTTCAATTTCCTACATCTATGTATATTACTCCACAGATTTGTACATAAAACTCAAGAAATGTGTGCTCGTGGCAACGGCATTACACTTACCAGTGTTCGCGTGGTTTTATGGTGTGTCAGTGTGGTATTGTATATCAGTCGCCTGTCATTAAAACAAATGTTTTGGAAAGATTGCTATATTATAAAATGACAGAACTGTCGCTTTGCTGTCATCTGTTTGCCTCACTTTGAAATCGTGCAGATGCTTCAACACTAGAGGGCGTCTTCTTCACCCGAGGGTGTTATTTGTAGGAACGTTGTGGCTTGCTTGTGTATTTTTTGGTTCATAGGGCGAGACGTCAGAGCGAGTCCTGGTCCAAGTGAGTATTTACAAATCCCAAACACATGGCTATGAAAAATTACTTCTTACTAGCACCACGACAAATTAGAAAAAAAGCTTTAGCACTGGTCAAACAATGACTAATTGTAATGTAAATATACAATAAGGATCATTGAATGTTTTGTCATTTGCTAAAAAATAATTTCATTTAAATAATGGTTTTGCAAAAATGTATGAATGGCACAACTTATTGGTCACGTGTCAGATTGTAATCTTGTATATTTTAAGAATAAATTAATGCAATTAACACATGTAAATGAGATTACTGCACCCCACTGTTCAATTTAAATTGCCTGGATTATCTGAGCATGAATTTGACTATTTCACTGGATTATTTATTTACTAAATAAATATACAACGGTGATTCAGTGACATGGCGAGTCTTCTAATGTGATAAATTACTGATAAGTGACTTACTGGGTCAGTTGTATATGTGCCCATGAAGGAAATGCCATGTGATACGTCATTATACCCGGATGTATGTGCTCCGATCACACCCCAGCCACGCCCTTCATATGCATTACCGTCTTCACCAATCAAGAAGCTGTAACCGATGTCACTCCAACCTGCGAAAAAAATGTAAATTGTCGTCATAGTTTGAATGTATAACTGCGCCAAGTTCAAGAAACATAACACCATGAGGTTGGGTATCTCTAACGTAATGTGTTTTATTTCTGTCTGTTACAATGTTTGTGTGTATCTCCAGAATAAAAGCGCATGTCTCGTAATGGCAAACTTCAATCAGTGTTTCCTTACCACAAATTAGACAACTATAAGATGCACTTCATATTACAGTTGAAGAAATATAACATAGACTCGGTTTAATACAAATAAAAAAGGCGATAAACACGATTTGAGTGCTCTGCGTGTGCATGCCGTTAACTAAAACACCATGATAGCACTGGTGAGATTGGATTACGATGATATTGTTGAATCGACTGCAAATTTGTGTTATATGTTGTGACATTTAGATAATTATTTTTGTTGGATAGCGGTCAGTTCTCGAAGTTTTTAGTTTGGACAGAAATGCTCCTGGTTGAACTATTACCTTACATAAAGCCACGGAATCGAGGGCACCAATGGTGGCTCAATGTCTCGTCTTCAAAAATACATCATCTCTATCTCTGTGTTTAGTGTTAACTTATCATTGGTGGAACCTCTTTTTCAAAGAATGAAATTCAAATTATTATCAAATATGTATGGTCACATGATACTTGCCTAGGCTGTCCATATGATAATTCTGGGTCGCTCGCATAACCTCACAGCATGTTTCGATATCATAGCAATGACTACCAACGGTGTGGTGTATGAAGCTTAAGTCTACGGGCAATGACATATACCATTTACCATTTGGTGGACGAGCACCCCATTGTTCACGTGTTATTAGCCGAACCTCTCCACAGTAGACCTCAACTTCTGCACAAAATATAGAAGAGACATGCAATATAAATAATTAAGATAGGAGCCTAGTCATAAATGCAAATACCCAGAATGTGTTCATTTTGCAATAAGTAGTACTGCCTGGTAAAATAAGGATATTGACATTAACGGTTGAAGGTCACCAGCATAAGCTTTGAGATGATGGTTGTATTTTAGTAGATAGTGGTCATTTTGTCAGTATTATAATGCTTTTACCATATGTTCCTATGGCAAAGATATTATGCTCAAATTGTAGTTCGGTGACATAGGCTGAAAAAATCATATTTTGTTAATGATTTGTTAAAATCTGGGTTAAAAAAAATGCAATTTTTCTTTACATTGTGCTCTATGGAATTTTTCTAAAAATAGTGATTTTTTAAAAAAATTATTAGGACAAGTTTTTCAAAATGTAATACTGTAAAAAAGATAAGAATACTGTTTCATGGCGCTATGGGACAATAGCTTCTTGATTTTACATAAGAAACCGATGAACACTGTCATGCGATTTTTGACCAACTTTCTCAAAAATTAATACATTCATGCAACATGGTTTACCGATTGTTGTAATGAAAAGCAGAGACTGAGTAATCATTGGAATAAATTTAATGTATTCTGCTCCAATTTCAACTGATATGTATTTACTGCAGAATTACCACGTGTTGTCCATGTGTATTCATACAACCTCTGTCGTCGGGTCACTTGAAGATTAAAAGTTTGAATACTTTCTCTCATTTATAATTACAATACACATAATACTTACGTTCTCCACAGCATTGTCTCTCACTAGGTCCTGATCAATAACCACTATAATATATCCCATCACACTGCAGTGATACGTCTTGGCACGTGCCACCAATATCGGTACAAAGCGAGTCATCTAGGAATAAAATAATAATATTTCATAATAACGCTACTAAGAGAAACTTATTTGACCTTGACTGCGGTGTTTGTTGCGTACCCAACTTTGGGAATTAAACTATTCTGTAAAAGATTATCATTCCCTTACTTTCGCGATAATTGATCGAAAGAACATTTAGCATTTGTTTGTCATTAATTTTATTTTTTCTATTCATGACTATAACATACCCTATATAATTATGGATAACGCAGAAAAAAACAACTAACTAATCAATTACAATAACCAAGGCTGGCTAGCCAATTAACATATCAACTATCCAAGTAGTTTCTTGCTGTATCGAATAGTAGCAGAACCAGTCTGACCATAATGCAATCGAAAACACGCCGAAAACAATGTATTCAACAAAAAATAAAGAAATGTTGCATACTACTGTATTCCTATTGTTTAACTTTCCTTCATATCTGAACACATTGTCATTAGACTCGGGTGTCTGGCAAACGATACATTTAAGCTAGTATGTTCATACTTGTGCACTCCGTGGAATTAGGATTTTACCAACCTCCGGGAGGTACACAGCACCTTCTATCATATCCTCCGTCACATAACCCGCTTTCATACCAACCACTGCATGCAATGGAATCGTCTTGACATGTGCCACCTTCAGCTTCACATGCTGCATCAGTATCTATATCATGGTCAAATGGCATTATGGAGAAGAATGCATGAACGGAAGGAATGAAGGATAAAAGGAAGTAAGGTCGGTCAAATATTAATCTGAATGAAATTGACGGCTTAAGACGAATTATACCATATGTTGGCCGAACAATGACAACTGTAATCATTGTAGATTTTACACATAGTGAGAGGTAGATAAAAGTTTCCCAAGGAGAAAAACTTTTGACGGTTCTTTGGCTATAAATATGTCGTTATGTAAATTATTATTGCACAAACAGCTTTAAAACTGTTTCATTGTGTGTTTGTAGTCGTCGAAGATGACAAAATTTATTTAAATATATTTTTGTACCAGGTGACAGCTTATGTTATGGATGTCTTTTCATATAGTGTATGTTGACATGCAAGCCATATTCAATTATCGGACCTTTTTCCTATCGTAATGTTCTTAGGACAATTTCTTACGCTACCACATCGAACACAAGTACCTGAGGACCCTAACTAACATTATAAATTCTGGGCGATGGCAGGAACAAATAAAAATGTTCTTTTCTTCAATTCGTTTTGTCAATTTGATTTTCCCCTGTCATGAACCTGAACTTGCTGTAATTTGTTTTTGCTCTGTGTGAAATATATTTAGGTTTGCGGAATTTGCGGCATGATATTCCAATTTGCCATCACCCTAGATCTAGTTTCTAATGCTTAACCCCTTAATGAATGATTCTCTGTCACTGTGCTAGCACATTTACCCAGTTTTTGGTTCGACCCCTTTCCGATTTCAACACCCATATAAGATTTGAATTCGGGCCCCGCTATTACGCCACTGGTAATCAATATAAAGTACAGTGTTATGGATGTTCACGAATAAGGAAATAACAAATTGACATCTGTCACACACCTGATGAAATGGTGCAAGTTATTATAATGTCACTTACTATCCGGTACGCAACATCTTCTGTCACTATCTCCATTACACAAACCACTTTCGTAATGTCCGTCACAGTACAGAGAGTCGTCCTGACAGGTGCCTCCCTTGTTGTTACAACCTGAATCGGCTGAATACATAATGAAGTTGGGTTGTTTGTTTATAACAGAGTATACTTGTTGTACACGGTGATGGCACACTTGCCTAAAACTGTGATGTTTCGATATTTCATGTATCGTATACTTTAATTTGATTAGTGTACGTCAAACGCCTTTCCTTCGTAACTTATGAATATTAACTGAATAATCATAACATTATACGTAATATATATTATGTAATTTATCGACGAAGCTCATTGAATTGCGCATGTGTATAATATTATTTGTTGCCAGCTTTGTGCCAGTGATTGCCTTACATTCATCGCACGGACCATGCATGGTGTAATCATTTTTTTTTACCTCCATGGTGTAATAGTAGTAGTTAAAGAAAATAACAAACCAAGGTTGTCGTCGCTAGTGCATTGTCTTCACAAAATGTCTTGAATTATCAAGCGTGTCACATTTAGTTTTGTCAAATAAGTGTATTTACGTGGTTATTACTGAATGCGCACCGGGCATTTTAAAACCTATCTTGTCGGACGCATCACTATCACCTGTGCACATGCACGGATAGCGTGGCTTTAATGTAAAATGAATACAACTCATATTCGTATCACAATGTATAAATTTCACAACAAAATATTTTTTACAAAAGTCCATGCGACAAAAAAAAACCCAGTGATTCAAACTTTTAATCGAAATTTTCCAGAAGGTAAGAATTTAAATCATCTTACCGTATGCAGCCACAGCGAAACATAAAATCAGTAGTAGTTGACAATTCATCGTATTAACTGTTCAGAAAGCCAATATTAGAATGACATTAAATTGTTTCTTATATGTACACAAGTATGTACGGGGGTGTGCAGCCCAGATGCTTTAGTTTGTGAATGAAGTAGACTTTTTTTTGTATCCGGGCACCTTATTATCATATTAATCGTATGACGAAAATGTCAGCACCGTAGAAGCAATAAAAGCACAGTAATTTTAAAATATAATTCTAATCACTATATTTTGAAACTGGATTTAGATGACTAGTTTGACCACCGTGAATATGTGGGTTTGTGCGTGTACTACTTATAATGATAGTCAGTCGAATTCGTTATCTGAGAAGCCATCTATTCTGATTAGCGTGTGAATTTCGCCGTATGTTTTCTGATCAAAATGATGCATGTGTGTGTGGGATCTAAGTTGTGTAGGTCAAATGCACAGCCATAATCTGTAGTGACGTAGATGGTCAAATTCAATACACCAATTATAACCATGGGAATATGTTATATATGTTAGTCTTACTAACAGTATTATATTATTTCAATTTTGTGTTGTATTTGATATCGGTATATCAATTGTGACTATGGCAATATGTTAATTAGTCTTACTGAATTGACCATATATTGTATTATATTTGACAATTGTCTGTTGAATTT